ATGAATTTCGACTAAAAAATCGGTGTTCAGATTTGAATGCCACATTAATCTAGATGGAAAACCATGAAGAAAAAGCCAAACTTCGTGGAAATCGGATGAGATTTGACCGAGTTATAGGGGTGGTAATTTTTGACCCATGTCTATATACGAATCTTGGGGTAAGATTTGGACATGAATTTCGACTAAGAAATCGGTGTTCAGATTTGAATTCCAGATTAATCTAGAGGGAAAACCATGAAGAAAAAGCAAAACTTCGTGGAAATCGGATGAGATTTGACCGAGTTAGGGGGGTGGTAATTTTTGACCCATGTCTATATACGAATCTTGGGGTAAGATTTGGACATGAATTTCGACTAAAAAATCGGTGCTCAGATTTGAATGCCAGATTAATCTAGAGGGAAAACCATGAAGAAAAAGCCAAACTTCGTGGAAATCGGATGAGATTTGACCGAGTTAGGAGGGTGGTAATTTTCGACTAAGAAATCGGTGTTCAGATTTGAATTCCAGATTAATCTAGAGGGAAAACCATGAAGAAAAAGCCAAACTTCGTGGAAATTGGATGAGATTTGACCGAGTTAGGGGGGTGGTAATTTTTGACCCATGTCTATATACGAATCTTGGGATAAGATTTGGACATGAATTTCGACTAAAAAATCGGTGTCAGATGTGAATGCCAGATTAATCAAGAGGGAAAATCATGAAGAAAAAGCCAAACTTCGTGGAAATCGGTTGAGATTTGACCGAGTTATGGGGGTGGTAATTTTTGACCCATGTCTATATACGAATCTTGGGGTAAGATTTGGACATGAATTTCGACTAAAAAATCGGTGTTCAGATTTGAATGCCACATTAATCTAGATGGAAAACCATGAAGAAAAAGCCAAACTTCGTGGAAATCGGATGAGATTTGACCGAGTTAGGGGGTGGTAATTTTTGACCCATGTCTATATACGAATCTTGGGGTAAGATTTGGACATGAATTTCGACTAAAAAAACGGTGTTCAGATTTGAATGCCACATTAATCTAGAGGGAAAACCATGAAGAAAAAGCAAAACTTCGTGGAAATCGGATGAGATTTGACCGAGTTATGGGGGTGGTAATTTTTGACCCATGTCTATATACGAATCTTGGGGTAAGATTTGGACATGAATTTCGACTAAAAAATCGGTGTTCAGATTTGAATGCCAGATTAATATAGAGGGAAAACCATGAAGAAAAAGCAAAACTTCGTGGAAATTGGATGAGATTTGACCGAGTTATGGGGGTGGTAATTTTTGACCCATGTCTATATACGAATCTTGGGGTAAGATTTGGACATGAATTTCGACTAAAAAATCGGTGTTCAGATTTGAATGCCACATTAATCTAGATGGAAAACCATGAAGAAAAAGCCAAACTTCGTGGAAATCGGATGAGATTTGACCGAGTTATAGGGGTGGTAATTTTTGACCCATGTCTATATACGAATCTTGGGGTAAGATTTGGACATGAATTTCGACTAAAAAATCGGTGTTCAGATTTGAATGCCACATTAATCTAGATGGAAAACCATGAAGAAAAAGCTAAACTTCGTGGAAATCGGATGAGATTTGGCCGAGATATGGGGGTGGTAACTATTGACTCATGTCTATATACGAATCTTGGGGTAAGATTTGGACATGAATTTCGACTAAAAAAAAGCTGTTCATATTTGAATGCCAGATTAATCTAGAGGGAAAACTGTGAAGAAAAATCCTATATCATATATATATTCTAGAAGCTATATGTCAAGTTTGGTGACTCTAGTGTTTATTATTTACCAAAATTGCCCAAAAAACAGGATATCGATATTGATTTTTATCGATTACTTGGAAACGGAGTAAGTTATCAATTATCGGAAGCAAACTCGATCTGCGCAGAAGCTAGGAGCATCTACATCTAAAATTTTAAGTCTCTAGCTCTTATAGGTTCTGAGATCCTTGCGTTCATACATACGGACGGACGGACGTACAGACAGACGGACATGGCTAGATCGACTCAGCTATTTATGCTGATCAAGAATATATATACTTTATGGGGTCGGAGTTGCTTCCTTCTGCCTGTTACATACATTTGGCTTTCTCACAAATACAATATACCCTTATACCCATGTTTAATGGGTTCAGGGTATAAAAAACGTTAAGCTTTGAAACAATTTAATTTTAAAATTGATAGGTTTGTATACCTTTTTGGAAATCTTTTGATTTTAACGTTTAACTTCTATGAAAATGTGAAAATTTAGTTGTAGCAGAATATGCTAGCTCTGACTCTAGAAATCTTATGTAAATATTAAATAGACTAAAGAGTGTATCAATACTTAATGAATTTATGTTATGTGGACAATCTAAAATATTAAAAAAAATAATAATAAATAAAATTTTAATATTGATTTAATTTTCAGTAGAATTTTAGTTTTTTAAATGAAAAAGTAAAATTTAGTTAACTGAAATTTGTTTCAATACATATAATATTTGTATATAAAGCGTAGCATCTCTACTTATTTCAAACATTTGCTCCACTATTAAAAAAAAGTTTTATCTACGATTCAAATTTCTGTAAAATTGTACTATGATATTTAGTCATATATACAGGGGAATAGACTAATGATCAATACTTATTAAAAATATTTGCTGCCCAATGTAATCTTATGTTAAACGCATTTCTCGGCAGACAACAATTGCAAATATATTTTGGGTATTGCTTTCGGGTCGCCAGCTTCTCAAACTTTTGACCCATTTGCTTGCCATGGCTAAATCCCAACGGGCTCACTCAACGCGGCGCTAAGCCACATTCCTGCCCACATCCTGGTGGGCCTCAAGCTGACCATGACGAAAACAAATGGCCGTGCAAAATGCCAAACAAATCAGTCGCAATTACGCGTCGCACTGCCCAGTGAGAAATAGAAGGAGAGAGAGAGAGAGAGAGTGAATGAATGAAATGAGGCCAGCGGGCCAAGGGTGAAAAAATAAATATTGTGTGGGCCATCGAACAAATGTAAAACATTAAATAATTTCATTTTCTTTGACGTAATGCGCCGCAATGAGCCACCAGCTCAATCAGAAAGTTAAGCAAACAAATTGCAGAATGAAAACAAGCAGCAAAAAGCTGAATTTATGTTTCTTTTTTATACTTTCTGTTTTTTCTTTGCATTTCCCTGTTGCGCTACGCCGTGCTCCAAGAGGAACAACAATGGCATTGTGGAAAATGTGGAATATAGAGAACAATGTACACCAAGGGCTTACGCCATTCTGAGGCAGCGAAAGCAATTTCCGTTCGTTAAACCTACATTTCGAAATTAAATTTCTTACACTTGAAAAGTTCGCAGCTTCAATATTGCGAGGCGTTTTTCATTTGCCACGGCGCGGCGGCGGCAGCAGCGCAATTATGCTATGGGGCCAGCAAGGCGGCAGTTAAGCCACACACCCACACACCCGCACACACACCCGTATACCCTTGACACCGCCAGCCACCCACAACAGCTGAAACAAGCTCTGGCAAAGTGAGTTGTAATATGGCGAAGGCGCCTTTAAAACTTTGCAAAGCAGGCCCCAAAAAAGAAAATCATTTAAAAGTATGTACAAGCGGCAAAATATACATGAAAATATTATGTAAACAAAATGTGGAGCATGGACAGAATCTGGTCTGGTCGTACTACTACTTCTATAGCCAGCCAGCCACTCATTACGACCTTCGATCCGAGGCAGAAGGAAAAGTTCGACGCGCTGTTTGCGTACGCGGCCGCTGCTGCGGTTGCCGAGGCCTCGAGTTTTCCTCGTTCCATTACAGTTTTTTTTTTTGTTTTTGGTGGAAAAATTGCTGAGTATTAAATATCTATTGAGTCGAATATTGTGGCATAAATTGAGGCGCGCTGAATGCTTGAGAAAATGTTGCTTGCTTTTCATTATGTTTTTGAAGGAAAATTTCCAAATTGTTGTCGCCTACGAAATTCTTTTCTTTGGGGCTTAATTGAGGTATTATTTGTGTCATCGATTCGAGGCGAGCTGAACAGCTGCAAAGATCGTGAGTTTTTTAAAGTAACTTACTTGCCCTTTTCCAATCTGGTTTTCCATTTTCTACACGCACACGCACACATACGCACCCTATCCTATCTAACTCATATAATCAGCTTAATTTATATGAAACCTCCCCTCGGTCTTTTTACTGCATGTAGAGAAAAGATAAGCCCAACAACAAACTGGGGCAAAAAAATAAAGAAAAAGTAGAATAAGAGACACGAAAATTAGAATAAAAGGGCAACATTGCCGGACCAAAGTCGAGACCGTCAATAAAATCTTTTTTTATAGATTTTATTTGCATGCTCCTGGCGAGGACACGAAGGGCGCTCTGGAATAATAGCCCCCAGATATGGGGTCGGCCATAAAATTGATATAATGTGAATGCAATTTGCTTGCGTTCTATATGCGTAGATATTTTTTTTTTGTTTTAAATTCAAAAACCAGGCATTGAGCCTGACACCCGACGAGCTAATTCGACGATTTCCTGGAAGCGAGAAGATTAACTTGCGACGTTTTGGTGTGCAGCAAAAGTTTCTTCAAGGGCCTGTTCGGACAGAATACTTGCACGAGTCCTAAGTCCTGTGGCCAGTGTCCTTCGTTCTGACAGTAGTTACCATGCGTCTGGCATACAACAATGCCATTAAATAGAATATTTAATTTTATTGTTTTCGCTGCCGTGTCCTTTCCCAAAATACGTCATACAAAGGGTCGGCCTCAGAGAGCGAGCGCATATTTTAAGGCTTAGCTACAAAAATTAAAATTCCGTAAGCATCCCGAGGACATATTTGCATATTGTTCATTTTACTTCTTCCAAAAATTTAAGCTCAACGACAATTTTCCCTGTCTCTTTTTATTATTTTTGTCTTTTATGAAAAGGCGTTCAAAATCATGCGAAAACCGAAAAGTTATAAACATTTCTAATATGAAACCCTTTTCCTCTGTTTTGCATTTTTTTCATTGCAGGTTACAGAGGACGACTAAGCCGAGTCTGATTAAACCGATAAAGGTATGTCCGTAGCAATGTGAAGTGCATAATTTATTAATGATCAAACAATAGATACCCTGTGAATTGTCAAAGTATCTGGCCTATCAAATTATTTTGAATTACTTCAAAAAATTATTTTCTGACAAAGCCTTTTTATTAAGCAACATATTTATTCTGAACGGAGTTCTTCTATATACATTTAAATAAACCACTTTCTTGGTTTTTGAATATATCGTTTAATTCGAAAATTATTTACAATATCCTGAAAAATATAAATATATATAAATATTTTATATACTATTCATTTTATGCTGCATGAAACTTTTGTATTTTATTAAATATTTTTTTTTTTTACTAGTAAATCGTTCTTACATATTTTTTAGTCAAACTAACTATGTGTTTTCAATAAATTTGGATTTCCTATCATTTATTTGATTATTATTTAAATGAAACCAATTTTTCATTGTCTTAATTTCGATTTTTTAAGGCTATTTATAATATCCTGAAAAACGTATTATTTAATTTTAAACGGTTCGCAATAATATATAGATTAATTTATCATTAATTATAACAATATATTTTGATTTCTTACAATTAATGTGCTCTCCGAAATGTGTTGGCCATCAAATTGATGTTAATCTTCAAGTATGCCCATTCATTCAAAAAAAGAAAGTTGGGGAACGTTCTTTATGCAAATAGCATTAAATATGCTAATCAGAAGCTGTGTCGTAGCTTTGAAGTAACTTTTAATTTTTTCGCTTACATTTCGTGTTGGCTGGTGTTCAGGCAGGTTTTCATTTGGCCCGGTCATAAATGGCTGTCTGTTTGCCTGTTTTACCTGGCCCGTCACGGCTTTGGGTATTTGGCCATTCAATTCATTTATTTATTTATGAAAATTGCGTATGCATATGTGCAGGAGGCGAATAACCATTCGTCAAAGTTGTCTGCCATATTTCATTGAGATTTAAAAATAATATTTATGCACTTGCGGGACGGCAAACGGCGGTACAAACAGAATTTCGATTTTGGTTTATTAACTCAACGGCATGGAAATTATGGCAAAAAGCGTTGACCATGTAAAAGGTGCACTGACAAATGGCCAGCACAATAAAAACCAATTTGATTTATGAACAGCTTAAACATGGCTGCCATGTTAACGCCGCAATTGTGGCCATATAAAAATGAAGTACACTTTTTGTCAACGCACCTGACAACTGCCAGGCAGCAACTGACCAAAGCTGGGCCCTAAAAAAATATCCCAACTTCAGGTGCGTGCGTGCCCAGCAGGTGCTCAAATGTGGCCACATTTTGCGGGGGAGACGTTGCCGCCACGACAGTGGCAATAAAAAGCAACTTAAAATGATTTGCGGCCAAGTTCTTTCACTTTGATTCACTTTAACCAGCCTAGCAACATGTCCTGGCATCTAAAATTAGGTCGCAATGGAGGTTGAACTACTTGAACGTCTTGGGCTGTGCTCCTTACTACGCAGACAATGACTTTTTCAAATAAACATTATTTGTAGCGACATCTTGATACCGTAATAAAAGGCAAGTGTTCACTTATACAATCTGCCTTTTAATGTGTAATTGATTCGTATGTTGTATATCGAGGCATGCCATTTTAAGCTTTGTGCAGCTAAAGACTATTTACCTAGACTGATTATTAATTTATATATATATTAGCTTTTAAGCCCTTATAGAAGGTATTTCAAATGACATAGCCATATATGTATGTCTGTGCGTCTGCATGTTTTTTATGAGAACTAGTCTCTCAATCTTAAGTCGTTCGCCTTGAAACTTTGCATATGTTCTGTCTTACTGCTGCATGTGTACATATGCCATAGGAACGATCAGTCGAAAAGTAGTTTCTTATATGGAAAACTTTTTTGTTTATCAAAATATCTTGACCAATCTCGGAATGTATAAGTTTTACTATGCGCCTTCGTGTATTCAAAAGGGAAATGTCTACAAGGGTATTAGATCTAACTTCCTTCGTTTCTTTTTATTGCTTGAATTTATTACTTTGATTGATTTTTTTAATAGAAAAACATTTCTTAATGAATTCAAACAAAACTATTATTAATAAAATATGTATACTATTTCTTGCATTTTCTAGTGACATTTTTTTAAATGCTTCCCGAAGCAATCAGAAGATTTTTCGAGATTTTGTTCTGAAAGCGACCTCGGTGAATAGATAGACCCTATTTTTGTTGTTTCTGCCCAGATCTTAATATATGTAAAAGCTGTCTTGCTGTTGTTTTATTTTTTTTTCTTACGCATTTTTTAACAGTTTTCAAATGTCAAGTAATTTCGTTGAAATATCACTCGCAAAAATAAGTGATTAAGGGCGTATCAAAATTTATAACTTTGAGAAAATACAGAAGCTTGGAAAAAAGCTTATTTGTTGCGGGGCGATTCGTGGAAAGAGATTGTCGTCTGAGTATTTCCAGTGAAAATGTAATTCATTAGGAAATATTTTCAAGTGCATGAAAAATGCCAACAACAATATTTCCAGGAATGACAATTTTCAAATGAAATAAAGGCATATCAAATGAAGATCAAGTGCATTAAGCTAATTATTTTAAGCGGCTAAATTAAATAACAGCACAACAAATTTCATTGCCAAACGGCGAGTTTAAAAAATTTCATAAAGAAACTCTTTCACTCTTCCACTCAGACTTGATAAAAATAGAATTAAGTACTTGTGAGTAATTTGGCAAAGTCTTTTTGTTGCGAGCCAAGAACCCACATTAAGCTCGTTTCTAAGGTTAACAAGTATGCCGCATATAAGTAAATAGAAACATTGTAATTTATTTTTAATGAATAAAAACTCAAGGTCTTAACTTGGGTGCAGGCGGGCCAAAAAATTAATTATCGTTGGCAAACAGTGCGAGAGAAAAATCATTGCAAGCTTTCACACAGCATACATATATATATATATATATATGTGTGTGTGTGTGTATGTATATATTTCTATGTAAGCCGCCTGCTTAGGCCGCCCGCGTATTTCATTACAGGCGGCGGCACTTGAGCGTTGTTAAGCTAAAAGTAAATTGCTTATTAAAAAGCAGCCTCAGCGTTTACACACGCAGATACACACAGTCGCATAGACACACGGGCTAAGGGGCGGGTTGGTGGTAGCCTCATGAGGAGTGAGCCACTCATTTACACTTGAAGTGGCAGCAAAAGCGAGAATTAAGTGAGTGGGAGTGGGAGCTGCAGACAACATATGAGGCGGTATGCGAAGGGGGGCTGTCTGCCAGAGGTAATGACAAAGCGCCAAGCTGAAGCTGAAGCTAAAGCTGAAGCTAGAGCTGGAGCTGTTGCTGGCAGGATCTCTGTTAGAGCGCGCGCTAAGGTCCTTGAAGCAATCGACTTAATGCTCAGCCTGTTGTGTATTTAGTTTGCATTTACATTACACACACACACTAACAGCTCGAAGGACAACCGCACACATGACTGCCTGCCCCTCTGGAGGGGCGCACATTTAATTTTCTACACATTGTGCCATGTCCTGATAGATTAACTGGGTATCGGTTTTGGCTGTGTGCGTGTGTGTGTGCCAAAATAAGTTGTGTCCTTGCCAAACACATACATACACGCACACAGATGCACACACATGCGCATATAGCCCCGTGACTCTATGTTACTTGATTGGATGACTGAGACACAGTTCGAAAGTCAAGGTAGCCAGAACTGGGATTGAGGGTGTGTCCTGGGTATGCTGCACGCTTCAATGAATTTTTGTCAACGTGATTCGAATTAGAATGTGTATTCAAATGAGTACATAATTTGTTTGTTTGTCTGTGTGCAGTTAGATATGCATACATATCGGCAAGCGCCGAGGCGCTGAGCTGTTCCCATTTTATGAGTGCAATTATGTGGCATGTGGCATGTGGCATGGGGTGTGCCTATGTTTGTGTGTATGCGTTTGGGCGTGTCCCTGTGAGTGTCTTTCATATAAATTTCAAACAAATTGCAAATAAATTGGAGTTGTCTTGGGGTCGCCATCGTCAACCCTCACAGTCTCTTTAGTGAGCCCCACAAGTTATTTAAAATATGTAAATTTCTTACAGCTGAGAGTTAACCACCCAACCAGCCACTGCCGCCCTCCGCACCACTTACATCCTTATCCGCAGCCACACACACTCCAAACACACACACACACAACGCACAACAATCCCACAGCTTTTATTGCTCTTCGTTTTGTGTCGCCAGTTTAAAGACCAGTTTTCGTCGCCGGGGCTTCTGTGGGGCAAGTCGTCGAGGCGCTTAAGAGCACCAGTTCGGCATATCCCATGACATTTAATTTACTTAAGTTCACTAATCCTCCCCCCACCCCCCATTGGCAAGCCAAAACCAATCACATGCTGCGTCTGATGAGTATTGTCTGCCTTTTTAATTAAATATTGTACACGTCCTTTTGCACGCCATTCATATGAGAGTCCTGCGGCGCAGGATGTTGAACAGTGCTATTTTTTGTGCTTTTGGCAAGTTTTTGTGGCTGCTTTTTTGGCCAGGGTTAAGTCAAAGCGAATTGATTTAATGTTAAAAACGCAAATGCGTTACTTATTTTATTTACAATCACATTCTGATGGACAGCTGGCGGACATGCGCTTATTGCATTCAGCTGATGCCAAGCGGAAACAATAAATATAAATCGCTTCGAGTGCTTATGAATGCCCGACAGTGCATGCAAATAACAAACCATGAATGATACACTACGGCATTTTATTGTTTGACTTAAATAAATAAATATATATTTTTTTGTGAGTTCTATTAGTTATTCATCAATCAGTTCATCTTATTGTAACATCTGGTTAGCAGCATTTACCAGAAAAACTAGCTTTCAAATATATATGTTTGGCAAGGATCAAAAAGAAAGAGAAAACTAATATAATAAAATCAACTTTTGATGCAATATTAAATCAATATTAATTTAAATATTATTATATTATATATATAAAAAGAATTATAAGCCAATTCCATAATCCATTTTATATAATATTTTTAACATGATT